TCACTCCTTCTTTTCCAGTTCTCTCCTAATCTCTTCTTTCTTTATTTATAAGAAGGGTAAAAGCATTCTAAGATTATGACAATCTGATTAATGACATGCTGGCTTTGATATTTTCTGTGAATCTACAGTGCATAATTCTGACAACTGGCTTTGTGCCTTATTTTTTATCTCCTTAGAAATAAACTTTGAATGATTATTGGTATAACATATTTCCCAGACAGAGCACTAAGAGATGGAAATTAGAAAATTAAAAAAAATAGGGATATAGGTTTTTCCCAACACCCACATCTGTTCATAGTGTTTTCTACAATATTTTTATTATTTTGTTCTTAAATATATATTTTGGCACACAATCTGCGTATGAAGTTAATGATTTTATAAAGCTTGTCCCTTGGGTCCCCCATAGCTTCAGGCAACTGCTTCATTTTCTGAGGTCTAACAAAACTTTCTCTTTCCTGCTTTTTTCCTTTTAGATTTTTATGGGTTTGTAAGTCTAGTGTTTGTTCTACTCTTACTGAATCTTAATAAATTTAACACTTCCTTATTAATATGCACACATATTCTCTAATCTTCCTCCATGGGCTAAAACAAATCTATTGTAAAAAAACAGAAAACCTCTCAATCCCAGAACACTTTTTTTTTTCAACAGTTGTTCTAAAATAATAGAATATGTGAAAATACGTGTTAGAAACTTTAAAAGATGCCTTATCTAAATTGTGAATGTTACATACGAAAACAAAGCAATGGATTAAAAAGAGGATGGGACAAATTATTAGTGTGCAGAAATGCCAAGCCTTAAACACAAATTTTAGAACTCATCATTGATACTCATCATCATTCAATTTTCAGCATTTTTGTCCTATTAAATGACAGGGTCTTGTCCTCAGCTGAATCTTAGAATACTGATGATTGTGGTAGGTTTAGCAGACTGGCTTACTGAAAATATGGGACAAGAGTCTGCTGGCGTATCTTCCTTTAACATCAACGCTGGGAAACTAAACACTTCATGTTTCTAGCTTATAGCAAAGATTCTGGTTATAATTTTAGTTTTAAGATTCATATTTACCACATACTTGGTTTTGAAGATGGATTAAGTGTGGGAACACACAGTACTTCATGAGATCCATTTTGCCAGTTCAGATCTTGCAGCAAACTGGAGCTGACCATTCTGATAGTAACCTTCTGATCTTGCCTGATAGTAACCTTCACAGCTTGCCTATTCTGGGAGCCCAACCTTTGATAATGTCTTGATGAAACTCCCATTTACTGGCCTTGAAAAAAATTAGTTTCTTTTTAAGCAAAGTTCAATAATGTTATCCTTGGAGGTATTCTAGAGGCAGAAGCTATTATATATTTTTCCAGTCCTTATAACAACTTTGTAGGCAGCTCATTCTTCTTAAAGTAACTTGAAATATTTTTTATCTCTGTAACTTAGATCCAATCTTGAGGATTCATAGCTTACAACAAATTCTAATACCAAACATTGTCAAGTGTATCTAAGAAAATCAAGATCCACTTGACAATTGGAATCTGGAAAATCAAGATATTAATTGGGCTTCAATGAGTTAAAGATTAATTACCATTGAAAAGTGGAATGCAGTAGTCTGTGATTTGCTGTGTCAAAAGTTACTGTATTTATCACCTGTGGTCATTTGACATAAATTGAATATTTAATGCATGACGTTGGTACAACAAGTGGCAGTTGCCACAGGACAATAAATATTTCTGGGCAAAGTGTCTTTTTCTCATCACACTGGAGTACTGGAGAAAGTAATAAATTTGGAGTTAACTTGACTCAGGACATATCAGAAAATGAGAATTTCCATGACTTATTTAATAACATTTTGTTGAGCCTGTTGACTCAATGTACCTTAAAACAGATGTGTGACTTTGTTGATTCCTAAAACAATTCATAGCAATGTAAAGTTTTAAAATAAGGATTAAGGGATTGATTAGCAAAGATTAGAAAGGTTTGAAAAATTTCAAAAGCTCTGAACTCTCGAATGCTCCTTTGTATCTCCAATGCTAGCAGAAACAGAATCCTGCCCATTATATAAGGAAAGTCCTGCTTTCTCTAGAGATACTGCTATAGTCATTACCTTGCAAGAAAATTCCAATTGCCATGGTACACCTTCCTCTCAATCATTTCCTTGACTTATTACTAGAGACAGAATGTTGCATGCCCCATGGAGTTAATAAAAAATTAAACCCAGGAGACAAAAGGGTTACAATGTCAATAAAATTTCAAGATTTGATTAATGTGTATTAATGATCCTGATCTTGGGAAATATGTATGGCAAGTAAGTTTTGTGGTACTAAATGAGGAAGGGAGAATATAATTTAGGTGGAAATTATTTTTAATGCAATAGACTTGCCAATGATTCTGGGTTAAATGTGCAAAGTTGAAAATCTCGGATTCATATCATTTGTGTGATTACTAAACAGAATCTTGGATTCAGTGATGGCTTACGGAGAATGAGTAAAAAGACAAATAATTCTTAGGTAAAATGAATATTAAATGATTCAATAAGTTAGATAAAATTGGTACAGTAGATTTGTCAAGATCTACTTGCACAACCATTTCCTAAATACATCTACTAGGAAAGTTCTCAAAAAAGACTTTTACCAAGGCATTGAGAACACATGAGAAAGGAAGCAATTGTGTCCTTTAAAAAGGATAACAAAAAGGGAAGGTATCAATAAAGATTGGATATATCCCTGTGGATAAAATAGGGTCCCTAAATTTAATAGTGGTCCCTAAATTTAACAGTGGTCCCTATACCACTGTGGATAAAATAGGGTCTCTAAATTTAATACAGATATTAGAATATTTGTGAAGAAAAATTCAGGCAATAGTACTTAATTTTTCTTTTAATAGAGACAGGGTCTCACTACTCACAAAAGCAATCATATTTAATTGGTAACAGAAAAGCAGAAATGATTGCCATTCAATGTAGCAGAGCAAAATAGGAATTAAAAATGATTGGAGCTCCTGGATCATGAATTGTTGGGCCATCTTCTAAGGTCTTTTTGTTCTGTATAACATCATATCTCTAAATCTTGTGAACCCAGCCTGATAGGAGTCACAGTGACGGAAAGTCTCCGCCTCTCGCTTAATCCTCAACTTCAGCCAGGTTATACATTCCAAGTCTTTTGGTGAGACAAGATGTTTTGAAGGAGGACCCTGAAATTATCTGACAAGTACACATCATAACTATTTTTTTGATAGTTACTATAAGCACCAGAGTGTTCTTCAGAAAATGATTGCTTACTTGGGAAGGGAAAATATGTAGAACTTTTTGGGAGAATAATGTAGACACGGGCTTAAGTTAATAGTTCTTGGTAAGTTAGAAGACCAATGAGGATCAATTGCATAAATAGGCTTTGGGGTTTAGGTAATAAATAAAGTTCTGTCTAAAATGATTTAAAAATTAGTATGGCATTTATACGAATCCATTTATTTTTCAAATTTTCCAAGCTCATGGGTATGGTGTGATTTTTCAGAAATTGGTAGACTCTCATTTTTTTTTTCTTTTGACTTTCACATGTCTGGGACTTGGCTTATATAAGAAAGGAAGTAATTTCCTGAATTAATACTCTGACAAAATTTAAACTAGATTCATCAGGATCTACTTGCACAACCATTTCCTAAATACGTTTACTAGGACAGTTATCAAAGAACTTTGGGACATCCTTTGGGAATAGCAGGAATTAATGTCACCTTCTAAAACTTGGCAGATGAAATGTTGGTGATTTCAACTGTGTTTATATTTTACTTGTCTGTTTTCTTGAGACAGAACATGATCAATGGCAAATATTTATTTTAAGTTTAATCAGGTGATATTTCATTGCTTGCTACTATCTCATATATGTTCTTTGTATTGAGATAAATCAATATAACCCCTGCCATCTGGCATCTGGCAATAATATTTAAATTATTCATACAGAAATATTAGAAGCAGTTTGTTTCACCTACTAAGTGCAGAAGTACAAATTCAGCATCTTTCTTTAACTCTTAGGCTTGACATCCTACTTTGGTCTTCTGGAATCTAGATTATCTCTCCATCTCATAATATTTTACCGCCAGTTCATGGCAGTGAATATAGCATAATGTCAGAATCTGGGGGCAGGAAGTAGCAGAGTCAGAAAGACACATGCAAGAGCATAAGAGATAAATCCCATAAATAGGTAAGGTTCTGTCCACTAAGTGAATGTTCTGAGTGCAGTGGTTTGCATGTTTGGAATATCCTCTAAATGTGTAAAAGTTTTTGTACCTCTCATTTCTTTTCAATTTTAAGAAAGAACAAGCCTCATATATGTCATTTCCAACACCTGCAACTCCTCTTCACTTTCTCCTCCTTTTCCTTCTTACTTTCCTTTTTGTTTTGGAGGCATTGTATGTCATATTTGGCTACACTGCTCTTATGAATTTACTCTAGTTTTTTAATGATGTCAGACTAAGCAAAGTATCTCAGCTCCTTTAAGATGGACAGCAATAGAATGTTGTCCAGCTGGTCTAGACTGCGGAGGAAGAGAAGACTTCCCAGCTGATTTAACCAGGAAAGCAAGTACACCTGGTACTAAGCACATAGAATATGGTATACTGGATAGCGGTGCTACAAAGTGTTTGTGATACATTGAAATGCAGTGTAAACTTTAGGCAATCCTGAAGAGGGGGATTGCATCTTAGAACTTTTGAGTAAAGCAATTGTGTTGTATTTTCGTGTGGCAAATAAGAATGTCTTCGAGACTGCAAACCAGGCACTGGTATGTCCAGTGACCATGTGGTCTGCAATGTTCGTCATAAACAATGGGGAAGCTCATCCACTTAGTGGGTAGATCGTGATCAGAAATACTCCATCATCTGAAGATCTATTTATACAATATTGAACTCAAGCTAGTCTTAAAAACACAAGAACATTTTTTACTGAGAATTCCGATGTACTGTCAATTCTCTCTCATTCCACATCTGTGGCCTAACAGGATATTCACTTTGGCAGGTTGGCTCATTTGTGATTGCTTCTTCATGACATGCTGGAAGCTGCATGCATTTTCTAAAGCAATACTGTGTCTCTAAGGGTATCCTCAAAAGACAACTGCAAGAGGAGCGCATCCGTGGCACAACTTTGATTGGTTCACATGATCGTTCGCTCTGCCTGAAAGTAGATATGACATGAGGTAAAATCCTACACCATTAATCTGATGGGTTGACCACATACTCAGGGATTTGAAAGAACAAGATTGTGGAATGACTGAGAAGAAATATAGGGATGTACCTTTGCTACAATACAGCATATTTGTTCTTCATGTGAATGCTTACTGATCAGTTAACACTATAGATCTGGCTCTAAGTAAACAAATGAATGCTTATTAGTTGGTTCACACTATAGATCTAGCTCTAAATAATCAGATAAAGTGGTGATCTATGTTTAGGATCAGGTTAACCTCTATTCCCACTATTTATTTAATGGCTCATAATTACAATGGCCATGATAGTAAACATGGAGATTATGTATGAGTTCAGAAACACATAATGTGACATATCTTTGCTTAGTGACCAGTCTGCTGGAGAAAAATGATTAATCCCTAATGTCACATTATAGGCTAGAGAGAACAGTCAGCTACTGGTGGTATATCAATTACACTGTACAATTTTTACCATGATGGAGGCAGTTATTTTTTCCCACTGGGACAGGTACTTATTCTTTCAGTAGATTTGCCTTACTGCATGTTATGGTTCTGCTTGCACTTACTGTCATCACTGCATTTATCTGTATGCTTTATGAATTGACATTGGATCAGACAATACTATCCACTTTTTATTCAAAGACTGGAGGCAATGAAATTATTTTAGGAAATCTTGACAAGTCTTATCATAACCTTCATTATTTAGAAGTGGCTGGGGTTTTTGGAAAATAATATAACCTCTTGAAAACTCAATGACAATTTTGGTCATGAGGCAACAATTTGTGAGAACAGCTTGCTGACTTACAAGGTGCAAACTACTCAACTGTTTTTCACATAGCCATGAGTCCTAGAAAAAGGATAGAAGTGGAAATGACCACTCTTAGTACTGTATCTAGTGACTCTCAAGCCACGAAACAATTACTGAGGGAGAGAGTCATTGTTTTGGCTGTTGCCAGCCCTGATCATAAAAGAAAACAGCTGCTATACAGGAGGACAGGGAAGGTATGTCTGGAACCCAGGCACTCTGGAGTTTTCCAAGAATTGTCATATCCAGTAATAAAAATTAGTGAAAGATTTCAAAAACATAATCCAAAGAAGGCCACAAAGGACTCACATCTTTCAGGAATAAATGTTTTGTTCTTCTCACCAAGTAAAGGCATCTGAGAATGAAGGAACATGTAATTATAATGGTGAACATAAGTTATAAGTACCAGCTATGATAAGCTTTTGTGATAGGATGCAGAAACAAGGTGTACAGGAGTGTCGTGACCACCCATATTTCTTTATTTTTCTCTCAGAATTTCACAAGAGAAAGAGAAAGGAAAGGGGAAAAGGATAATATGTATTGTATAATATAATTAAACAATTACTGTGTTGTGTAATTGTGTAATGAGATCACAAATTGTGGGATAACAAGAACAGACTGTGACTGAAGTAGGTGTGGGCAGGTTTAATATTCTTCAGAGATGAATGTAGTAACAGGGAAATTGGGTCTTTCTTTCTAGAAAGAGTATGAGAGTGTTATTTTATAAGGTATGGTTGCAGTATATTAAGCTGGAACATGTTGTTATTACTTTTGTTGTCACTGTACAGATTAAGTGTGGAAGAAGTGTGTGGGTCCACATTGAACATCTATAGATTTTCACAGTGGCACGTGGGTCAGATGGGCTCTCCTCTGTTACGACCTACTTTTGATGTGTCATCTTTCACCACAAAGCCCAGAAAGGTAAAAGCTTCCCATATATTTTTGGATCTTGAATTGCACATGTATGGTGTGTATTCCTTCAATCATATGCATTTAGACAACACGTGAGTTTGGAAGCTAGTGATAAGAGGAGATAAGCATCTGCATATGGGTCATTTCGTTTGCTGGAGGATGTAGGCTGGCCAGTGTGATTCTGAGACCAGTAGTTTTGGTATTACCTTCCTTAACTCTGAATTATAGTTTAGATGGTGTGTTCCTGGAGCCAACAGTAGTTGCTTCTCCACCTTCCTAATTGTTAAAATCTGGAATTACTTTTAAATGTGAACATATTGAATAAAATTAAGTGCAAGAACTCAAATGACTGGATCTTTTTTGCATGTTGCTTTAACACTTTGCTTTTCAGTGGGTGGCACGAGATGAGTTTCTTATGTTCCCACTCTTTGTATTTTTCCTGAAATTTTATTTGTCTCATATTTATTTGTTTAGGTAAATTTTACCAAGTGTTGATGCAGCTAAGAGATTTACCAATAGTATACCCTGATCAAAACTTCTGAATATTATACTATAATTATCGCAAATGTCCATTGCTTTAGAAAATTGTTACTTTTATGAGAAAAAACACATTCACTTTTAAAATTATGCTTTAAAAATCCAACTTTAGATGGCTTATTTCCACAATAATTGTATTAAAATAAAAAGACAGTTTGTCCTCTGTATGGTATGATACCTATATTTAAATATAATTGTGTGATATAACAGTGGTTTTACATGTTTCAGCTTTAATTTTCTTGTGGATTACGGACCCGTGAAGTTTACAGCATATAAAAATATAACGTGTATTCTACAAAAGAAAATTACTGTCATTTCAAGAATTTTTGTTCAACATTCAGGTCATAAACTTAGACTGAGAGTCTTAAAAATGTTTTTTATTACTTTAACAAACATTCTCACATTCTTATTAAGCAACAATCCCTGTTTCTCCTAATTTAGAAATCCATAAAAATGTCTTGTATATATGTAGTAAACAGAATTGATTAAAAGTTCATGATTTATTTTTCTGAAGTTGTGTGATAGGAAGTGTTCTTATTTTAAATAAAATTATTTTTATATTCAATATTTAGGTAGGTAATAACATTTTCAATTTGACTCTAAGTACATCATTAGGTGGAGTAAAAAATGATTTTGCTTTGCTGTAGACTATTGAAAATTAAATGACTTTTTAATGTCATTTTTATGACTATCTGTAAATGATCTAATCTTTAGATTTTTATTGAAATACTCAGAAACTGCCCAATTAGATGGATCACTGACCTATTCTGGTTTGAAACTTTTATACATTTTTGTCCTTACTGTTAATTTTGGTACTTCCTCTAGAGCTCTTTTTGTAGGTAGGGGGCAGTCATGGTCTCTGTCAATGAAGTGAATCTAGACAAGTTACCGGTACTCAGATTTCTCACATATATGTGTTTAAAATATATTACACTGAAAACTTAACTTATGCGATAAACGTTTTCACCTATCAAGAAAACATATTAGAATAGAACCTAACCCCAACACTGTGCTAAAATAGAACAATAGAACAACACTGAGATGGAAAATACTTATGCCCCTGTAATGTCTTCATAAGGCCTGTCACAAAGTATATGTTCAATAATTATGTACTGAAAGTTTATAAGAGCTATCTTTGCAAATTATAGTCCCTTCCTTAATGCTTATGATCACCATATGAATAAAGTAAACCACTGATGAGTATGATTATTTCTTGAGTCTATCAAGTAGTTCCTTTCATGAAGTAAGTGCCCAGTGATTTATTGTTGACAACAAATAGCAAAAATACATACAACTTTCACTTATCTTTGTCTCATATCAACAGAATATTTTAGTTTTTGATATAATCCAATTAATTTTCTAAAATAGCCATATGAACATCACTTAAGCCTTTGCAGAATCTAAAGATACAAGAAAATGTAAAAATACACTAGCCTAAAATAGCAATCTTATATTTACAAAACGATACTTATGCCATGTGTCATTTACATATATATGTAGACAAACACATACATACACATCTGTGTGTTATAGATACTTGTGTTAGTAAACACATGCACATTCACAGATTCATACATATAAAACAATACACACAAGTTATGAAAATATGTTAATTCTATATTCCAAAAATTAGCAACTCTCGTGAAATAATTTAATAATATGAAAAGCAAAAGTATTTACACTGGCTTTCCTGTCATATGTCAAAAAGCATAAAATGTTATATATAACATTTAATTTATATATCTGTATACTATACGTAAGTCGCAGATTAAAATTATTATATGTAAATGGACATAAAACATTAAGGCAGAAAAATATGAGTAAAAGAGGACATTAGAAAATAATGTTGGCTTAAAAAGTCACATGCCTGTAATCCCAGCACATTAGAAGCCCAAGGCAGGTGGATCAGTTGAGGTCAGGAGTTCAAGACTAGCCTGGCCAACATGGCAAAACCTCATCTCTACAAAAAATGCAAATATTAACCAGTCATGGTGGCAGGCACCTTTAGTTCCAGCTACTCGGGAGGCTGAGGCAGGAGAATTGCTTGAACTCAGGAGGCAGAGGTTGCAGTGAGCTGAGATCATGCTAATGCACTCCAGCCTGGGCAACAGAACAACACTATCTCAAAATAAATAAAGAAATAATAAAAAATTACAATGAAAGACATTAGTAATGTCATATTCAGAACAAATGTTACCTATGTGTTATTATTTGCTTTCTATACATTGAAAAACTTAATCATGCATAATTATTAGTGTGGAGTTGAAGTTAACAATGTTTATGTTGATGTAAAACTGGAAATAATGAGGATTTACACTATTAAAATTAAAAGGTACCATGAAATTTCTGTTTGTTTGGTTTTACTTTTTGGGAATTGGCTTTGGAGAATACATAATTTCTGATAATTTTTTTTTTATAAAATAAAAGTATGTAAGTCTTGGCAAATATTGTGAGCTGATAAACAGTTTGGTGAATCATTTTTGGTTTTGGTTATATCAGAAAGTTGAAATATTACATATCAGATGCTAAAAGGACTTTTTTGGAGACAGGTCTTAAGGGATTAAATTGTTTTAATTATGGTATTCAATCAATGGAATATTTCTTCTTTCTAAAACATTTCTGCAATGAGAGAACAAATTGTCCCATCAGTAAACTCAGTCTGTAAAGAACTCTTTAGTTGAGTATGTATTTAAATCACATAATCGATGGAAGTGGGCAATTATCTGCATTCTTCATTGATCAATTTATACTTGAATTGTGAAAAATCAAAATAAATTAGGCAAATATTCTAATAAATTAAAATATTGTCTCTGTTTACAATTGTTTTTTGTTTCAGAGGAAATATTCCTGCCACCTGTCACCTTTTGGCAAATTCCTCATTTTAGACAAATCGTCATTCTTAAATTTAAAATAAATAAACCAAGGATGAAGAAGAAATTCACAACTGATAATGAGTTTGAATTTTCTTTTGAACTAATAAAAACTACATTTTAATGTTTTTTTAATTTATTAAAAAGAAGAACATCCTCTCATATATGACAATATAGAGGAACCTAGGACATTAAGTGAAATAAGCCAGTCACAAAAGGAAAAATACTGCAAGACTCTACTTATTAGAAATATCTAAGGTAGTTAAACTTAAAGAAACAGAGGGTAGAATGCTGATTGTCAGGGGCCAGTGGGAGGGGGAAATGGAGAAGTGCTGATCAATGGGTATAAAGATTTAGTTATGCCAGAGGAGTAAGTTCTAGAGATCTGCTGTTCATCATTGTGTCTGACATTAACAGTCCTGTATTGTGCAATTTAAAAATGATTAAGAAGGTTATCTTGTTTGTTTTGCCACAATAAAATAAAGTAAAATAATTTAAAAGTGTGAAGTAACCTGGCACATATGATGTTAAAGGCTTAAATGAAAGAAAAAATATATATCATTAAACAGGGTAACTAGCAATTGATCAAGCTGCTTTTTATTTTTTCATTTTATTTATATTTTTTTGAGACAGAGTCTTACTCTGTCACTCAGGCTGGAGTGCAATGGTGTGATCTCAGCTCACTGCAACCTCCACCTCCAGAGTTCAGCCAGTCCTTGTGCCTTAGCCTCCCAAGTAGCTGGATTAGAGGCTCCCACTACCACGCCCAGATAATTTTTGTATTTTTAGTAATGACAGGGCTTTACCATGTTGTCCAGGCTGGTCTCAAACTCCTAACCTCAACTGATTCACCTACCTTGGCCTCCCAAAGTCCTAGGATTACAGGCATGAGCCAGGTCTTGCTTATTTTGCTCTTCTTCCCATAATACTTTTGTATGAGACTCCTATCTGAACTTTAAAATGTACAGGCAATGACTTTTTAAAATCTTTGTGTTTACAGCATTTAGCAAGGGAGCTATTATATGATTATGAAAATAAAAGTTTATTTTCAGAATCCTTATTGGTAAAGAATTGGAACAAAGAAGTAAAAGATAATAGTGATGTGAGCTATAGTATTTAATTATGTAGATGATAACAGATAACACTGAAAAGCTATCTGTAAATAGTTTTTTCTTTGTTGTATCTGAAGGTATTCATTATGAGGCATAAGGTTTACAACATACAGAATTTTTTCTCATAAAGCCGATACTAATTATAGCGATGATTTCCATCAATCTTCTGTTTTTCTCTTACTTTCAGTCCATATTTAATATCATCCCTCAGTAATTTTACTGACAATGTCAATTTCATATGTTATTTTTCTGCTTTAAAACTTTAAATGTCTCATTTTCTGAGAGATTGAGTGTAAATTTTTATTAAAATTTTTAAAATCTTGGGCAACCTATTTCCTCCAGTCTTCGTCAATTGTCTGTAGTAATCCTATATGCAAATTAAGATCCTTACTTTCCCTGACCATTGTCTACACATTGCCATCCCTGAGGCTTAGTTTCTGCCATTTTTCCTTCAGGAAACTGTTCTTGATTACCAAGGATCTACATAAGCCCTTTGACTTTCTACAGAACTTCTTGTTTGCACACTACTTTGTCACTCATCATATAATGATGGAAGTGGTTTTCTTTCTAATTCCATGACATATTTCTTGATTGTATTTCAAATAGAAGGGAGAGAGAGTTTTTTTTTTTAATGCCCACTAACTTACTGTATCTTTTGTATAGTCAGTATCGGTAAATATAAATGTTTTCCCTAAGAACCTCCTTTACTTCCTCTTTGTAATTTTTTTCCAAAATTATTCTTTCCATGTGGAAGTTTGGGTGTGCACCATTAGATTTCTTCTAAAATCAAGTTGAATTAAATCTCAGCCACGGATTAAATTAGAACCTCTGCCACTTTCACTGTTTTGAAAAAATGTGTGCAAGCCCTTTTGGGAGGAATTTGAAAAAAAAGTTTAAGATTGAGTGTCATTTAGGGAAGATTCAAAATATAAGTGAAATAATCATATGAGGGTTTTTTTTTTTTTTTTTTAAAGAATATCTTGGCCAGGTGTGGTGGCTCAAGCCTGTAATCCCAACACTTTGGGAGGCCGAGGCGGGTGGATCACGAGGTCAAGAAATCGAGACCATCCTGGTCAACATGGTGAAACCCCGTCTCTACTAAAAAAATACAAAAAATTAGC